AGAAAGAAAGAAAAAGAATGAAAGAAAGAAAGAAAAGAAAGAGAAAGAAGGTAGAAAGAAAAAGAAAGAAAGAGAAAGGAGAAAGAAGGAAGGAAGGAAGGAAGGGAGGGAGGGAGGGAGGGAGGGAGGGAGGGAAGAAAAAAGGAAGGAAGAGAAAGAAAGAAAGAAAAAGAAAGAAAAAAGAGAGAGGGAGGGAGGGAAGAAAGGAAGGAGGGAAGAGAAAGAAGGGAGAGAGGGAGGGGAAAGAGGGAGGGAGGAGGGAAGGAAGGGAGAAAGGGAGGAAGCTCACTCTGGCAGCATGTGAAGAACTGAAGAACAGATTGTGGTGGGTGAGCAGGAAGACAAGCAGAGCAGTAAGGTGGCTTCTGGAACAGTTCTGGAGAAAGACAGCAAGGCATGAGCCAGGGACAGGCAGGGAGGACAGAGACGGGCGGGTGGACTCTGGAGAAGTCAAGGGCTTTTCGACTGACAGTTGTTGAAGAGGAGGAACTGGAGCCTGAATCTCAGCTCAGACCATCCAAGCAGACTACAGAGGCACAGGCGGAGCCAACGAGGTGGGGGCGGGATGCAGCACCTCTGGAGGGTTAGAGTTCTGGTCATAGTGGCTTGGCATCAGTGGGTACCAGGCCGGATCCAGCAGCTTCCCAGCGCCAGAGGATGGATGCACCCTGGCCCTGCCCACCTTTCCGCCCCTCAATCCCAACCCCCAGGGCAGGTATAAATAAGAGTTTCTCCAGCAGGCTTTGGCAGCCAAAACGCAATGTCATTTCTAGATGAGCCAACCAGCTCTGGAGATGTGCCAGGCTGCAGGGTGCCGGCGGGGGGTGGGGGGCAGCTGTGTCCCCAAAACCCAGCCAAGGAGCCACCTCACACAGCCAACCAAGGCAGTGGCAGAAGCAGGGCTGGCAGGGGGCCCCAGCCCCAGATGGCTGGTGCAGGGATGGCTATGATGGGGCCTCCATCTGCCTGGGCTGCAGCCTCCCTGCGAGGTCAGGCCCCCACGGCTCCTATCAGCCAGAAGTGATGCCCCCTCCCTTGGTCAGTAAGCACTGATGTATTTACTAGTTCCTGGTGTATATGCAGCTCTGTGCCTGGGTCAGTGCACTAGGAAGGACACAGGCTTTGGAGGCATCAGAGCCAAGTTGGAGGTTGTTGGATTGTCTGTTTTGAGACAGGGTCTCAAACAAACTCTGCCACCCAGGCTGGGGTGTAACGGCATGATCGCAGGTCCCTGCAGCCTCCATCTCTCAGGCTCAAGCAATCCTCCAGCCTCAGCCTCCTACATAGTTGGGACTACAGTCATGTGCCGCCATGCCCACCTAATTTTTTAATTTTCTGTAGAAACAGGGTCTTGCTACATTGTCCAAGTTGGTCTCTAACTCCTGGGCTCAAGCAATCCTCTCACTTCATCCTCCCAAAATACTGGAGTTCCAGGTGTCAGTCACTATACCTGGCCATTCGTTGGAGTTCTGTCTGTCCTGCTATTCACCTGTTTCTATCTGTGGACATCAGTTTTCTAGCCTGTCAAGTGACATAAGAAAAAGCCTTCCAACAGCCAGGCATGGTGGCTCACACCTGTAATCCCAGCACTTTGGGAGCCTGAGGCAGGCAGATCACTTGAGGTCAGGTGTTTGAGACCAGCCTGGTCAACATGGTGAAACACTGTCTCTACTAAAAATACAAAAATTAGCGGAGCATGGTGGTGTCTGTAGTTCCAGCTACTCAGGAGACTGAGACAGGAGAACCGCTTGAACCCAGGAGGCGGAGGTTGCAGTGGGCCAAGATCATGCCACTGCACTCCAGCCTGGGCAACAGAGCAAGATTCCATCTCAGAAAAAAAAATAACAAATAGAACAATTAGTGGCCCATGCCTGTAGTCCCAGCTGCTGGGGAGGCTGAGGCTGGAGAATTGCTTGAACCTGAGAGGTGGAGGTTGTAGTGAGTTGAGATCATGACACCACACTCCAGCCTGGGCAACAGAGAGAGACTCTGTCTCAAAAAAAAAAACAAGGAAAGAAGAAACCTTCCCCACAAAGGTGTCAGTCATGAGAACTAAATCAGTATATGCAGAAGACAATGACAAGACTTTTCTAGTCTTCAGGAATTTCTGCAGAGACCCAAGGCTTAGAGCAAGGGGTGAGCAGCGCCCACACCTTAAGAGGTGCCAGACACACCTTCAGGACTCGGTGGGAGAACAGAACTATCTATCCTATATGGCCCCCACCTGCCTGCATCGAAGTCACGCTTTGGGGAGGATTTATTAAAAGAGTTCTGCCCTTGACCAGGCGCAGTGGCTCACACCTGTAATCCCAGCACTTTGGGATGATGAGGTGGGCAGATCACAAGGTCAGGAGTTCGAGACCAGCCTGACCAACATGGTGAAATCCTGTCTCTACTAAAAATATAAACATTAGCTAGGTGGGGTGGCACATGCCTGTAATCCCAGCCACTAGGGAGGCTGAGGCAGGAGAATCGCTTCAACCCAGAACATGGAGTTTGCAGCGAGCCAAGATTGTGCCACTGCACTCCAGCCTGGGCGACAGAGCGAGACTCCATCTCAGTAGTAATAATAATAAATACAAAAATTAGCTGGGTGTCATGGTGCAAGCCTGTAGTCCCAGCTACTCAGGAGCCTGAGGCAAGAGGATTGCTTGAGTCCAGGAGTTCAAGACCAGCCTGAACAACGTAGTGAGACTGTCATCTCTAAAAGATGAATAAATAAATAATAGAGTTCCACTCTTAAGCTGAATAAGGGGCTTCAGGTGACACTCTCCACAGATGGCAGTGCTTTCCAGGAAGGAAAGTGGCCTTTTCCCCCTGGCTGGACACCACCTAAATGCCAAGCCTCCTGTACCAGGGCACCTGAGGGGTGTGCACAGAAGGCGTCCTCAGGACACCCAGATGCACATCATCTGGCATTCGGGGAGATGGATCCTGGGGCCTGACTCCCCCCAGGGAGATGCCAGATGGAGCAGTCTGCAGTCTCATGGTGGGGGACAGGGTGGCAGTGGGGGAGGCTTCCCTTCCTGACCTCCTTCGGGGGTCAGATGGACACCATGGAGGGAGACAAGTGCTCATAAGAGGGGACCCCTTGCAGGATCTCCTTCCCTGGCAAGAAGGCTGGGCTGGAAAGGCAACCCTGCAACGAGGAACTGGGCAAAGCAGAAACCAGGGCCAGAGGCCCCAAAACGCCCACAAAAGTGCCCCCCCACCTGCCTCTGGGCATCTGCCACAGGGAAGGCACTAACAGTCAGCAAAAACAGCTCCTAACACGGGCAATGCTCGGCTGTTCTGAGTGGTCCTTCCTCGCCTGCTCATCTCTGGAGGAGACAGAATCTCGAGGGGAGGCGTGGTGTCAGGATGCCAGTAGAAGATGGAACACGGAGAACAAGACGAGACTGCAGCCCCCACTTCCCAAGACAAGTTTCTGGTCCTGGAAAGAAGCTTCATTTGGGGCTGGGCGCAGTGTCTCACACCTGTAATCCCAGCACTTTGGGAGGCCGAGGCGGGCAGATCACAAGGTCAGGAATTCGAGACCAGCCTGACCAACATGGTGAAATCCTGTCTCTACTAAAAATGCAAAAATCAGCTGGGTGTGGTGGCGCGTGCCTATGATCCCAGCTACTCAGGAGGCTGAGGCAGGAGAATTACTTGAACCTGGGAGGCGGAGGTTGCACTAAGCTGAGATCATGCCCCTGCACTCCAGCCTGGGCAACAATGCAAGACTCCATCTCAAAAAATAAAATACAATACAAAAATTAGCCAGGTGTGGTGGCTCGCACCTGTAATTCCAGCTACTCAGGAGGCTGAAGCAGGAGAATCACTTGAACCCAGGAGGCAGAAGTTGCAGTGAGCTAACGCCATTGCACTCCAGCCTTGGCGACAGAGAGAGACTCAGTCTCAAAAATAAATAAATAAATAAAAAGCAGCAGCTTTATTTGGAAGCAGGTCCAAAGTTTTGATTTCGATGATTTCAATGGGACCAGCCTGTTTAGCTCCTGCGTGTGACTAGAGAATCAATGGCCTCTGGCCATGGGTGGGAGATGCAGCCAAACTAGTGGGTGGACCACAGAGCCGTGCCTGGTTCACTTTTCCCAAGTCCAGCCTGCTCCGCGAACCTGCTGTACACACAAGCACATCCATGTCTACAGGCCCAGGGCCGTGGAGCTGGGAGAGGCAGGGAGCTCCGGCCCCTCTGCTTGCAACCGGGCTGGCGTCATCCTCCCTGAAGCAGTGGCCCTTCCCCCTATTGGGGGATGAGCAGGGCTGGGGCTTTGCGGAGCCAGGGACACTGCTACACACGGGACTCTTGGGCTCTGGTCTCCACCCTTTGGGCTCCCTGTCCATGGACAAGCCCCATAACCCTCAGCGCCTCCTGGGACCCAAACCAGCATAAGCCCAAGTGGGAACATGAATTCTGACATGAGGACAGAGTGGTCTGGGAAGGCTTCTGGAGAAGCGGCCTTTGAGTTGAGACTTGCAGAAGGAGGATTTCAGGATGCACAAGAGAGGAGATGGTGCTCTTCTTGGAAGAAATGGACACATGCAAAGTCTGGGAAGCATGTGTGCCCACATGGCTGGCATGGCCACAGCTCAAGGTACCTGAAGGGCTGTGATGGGATATGGATTCAGAACAGTCGCCGTGACCGTGATTATCGACTGAAAGCAGCGTCCACACTAGCCATAACCAATCTGGGCCTTGCTTCCCTCCTCTGTGACCTGGGGAGAATTGCTCTATTTCTTCCTGGGCTCACAATATGACCTGGCAATAAATGAGTCCTGTTTTCTCAAACTAACACATTAACCCAGAGCTCAGAGGACACCTTTTACAGTCAGAAAAGCTTAGGCTCAAATCTCAGTTCTGTGGAACTCCTGTTAAGCTTCTCTTCCTCATCTCCCCACCCCCACCCCGCCCTGCTGCCGAGATGGAGTCCCGTTCTGTCACCCAGGCTGGAGTGCAGTGGCACGATCTTGGCTCACCGCCACCTCCGCCTCCTGGGTTCATGCGATTCTCCTGCCTCATCCTCCTGAGCAGCTGGGATTACAGGTGCCCGCCACCATGCCTGGCTAATTTTTTGTATTTCTAGAAGAGATGGGGTTTCACCATCTTGGCCAGGCTGGTCTCAAACTCCTGACCTCAAATGATCCACCCGCCTTGACCTCCCAAAGTGCTGGGATTACAGACGTGAGCCACCGTGCCCGGCCAAGCTTCTCTTTGCTGATCTATAAAACGGGGATGACAAGCTCTACTCAGAAGGAAGGCATAACATAACGTACATAAAGGCCAGGCCCAGCGTGAGCCTGTGGAAACAGGAGCCCTCAGCCCCGACACTGTCCTCACCTTCACAGAGGCGCTCACTTACATAGGACACCAGCAAGTTGGTCGGGGCCAGGACGAGAGCCAGGTAGAGGCAGGGGGCTGCAGTGAGCAGGCTGGAGGCGCAGATGAGGGGCTCAGCTCTTGGGTTGACTTTCTTGTACCTCTTTGCAACTTCTGCCCCCAAGATGACCCCAATGACGCCGGTTATAATGGTCAGTGACCCAAAAATCAGGCTGATGGGGAAGAGGAGAGAGGGATTGGTCGGCTGGGTGGGATCAGCACAGGGAACTTTCATCTTGCTCCCAGCCCCAGGTCTAGCCATTTGACCCAAGCACACGATCTGATGCCTGCAGGGAGCATGGCTGTGGACCCCTGACCTGACCCAGGCCTTACCCACCCACCCCACTGATGATCCCAGGGCCTGCAGACCCTGACCAGGGACCAGTATCCCACCCCCTTTCCTGCCCCATCCCCTGCCTCATCCTGGGGATCCCACTGGCCATGTGGGTGATTGCCCAGCACCCTAGGGCCCAGCCTGCCCCATCTCCATTGACCCTCACCCTCTCACCACCCAAAACTACCCCACTCAAAATCTTCATTCCAGGGTCCCACTCTGGCCCCAGCCTTTCCAGCTCCCAGTACTAAGAGGAATGGAGGTGACTGCACATGGACTGACTGAGCCCCTGTGATACACCCGGCCCTTGTCTGGGCCCTGAACACACACTCCCCCCTTGAATCCCACCCTTCCAGTCCCTGTCTTCGAACCCCTCTCATGCAGCACCCATGACTGAAGTCCCTTCCAGCCCTCTCCTAGACCCACTTCAACTCCGCTTGGCTTCCCCATGCTCATCCTTCCTGTGGAGACCTGTCCCTCCAAAGCAACCTCCAGACAGGCTCCCCGAGAGTGCACTGCAAACACAGATCTGTGGTGGGAGGAGTTCAAGACCAGCAAGATCCCATCTCTACAAAAAATGTTCAAATTATCCAGGCTTGGTGGCGTGCATCTATAGTCCCAGCTATTCAGGAGGATCACTTGAGGTCAGAAGTTTGAGGCCACAGTAAGCTACGATCATACCACTGCCCTCCAGCTTGGGCAACAGAGCAAGAACCTGTGTCTAAAAGTAAAATTAAAAACACAGATCTGACCTTGTCCCGGCCCACCTCCTACCTGAAATTCTCCACAAGCTCTCAAACACCTACAAGATTTGTCCCCAGTTCCATATGGTGTACATTGTCCTTCATGATCTGCCCCTGGCTCACATCAACCCCAGGTTCCAGCTCTGTTTTCTTCCCCTCCCCACTCCACACCTCACACTTTCATTTCTCTATCAGAAATACCCTTCACTAGTTTTTGACCTACCAAACTCCTACTCATTCTTCAGAACCCATCACAGCCTCCTCGGGGATGCCCTTCCTTTGTTCCCTTGCTGATCCCTTCACTCCCATGAGTTCCCACAGCACCTTCTGTCTCCAGATTCATTCCTGGCATGGGAATTCCCCAGAGGACAGTAATGGGTTTGGTGTCTTTTCTTGACTCTATGCTGGGAGCAATCAGCTCATTGATCCCTCCTAGAATTCCCAGACAGATAGACGAACAGGGTGAGGCTGAGAAAGGTCAAGGCCAAGATGTGGTATTCCAATCCTGGTCTGTCATCCTGGTAAATGACAGACCAGGATTGGAATAAACATCATCACCCTATTCGTCCATTCTGCAACCTCCAGCCTCCTTTTAAAGGAGCTCAAAGGGGCCAGGCAAGGTGGCTTAAGCCTGTAATCCCAGCACGTTGGGAGGCTGAGGTGGGTGGATCACTTGAGGTCAGGAATTCAAGACCAGTCTGGCCAACACGGCAAAACCCCATCTCTACTGAAAATATAAAAATACAAAAATTAGCTGGGCATGGTGGTGGGCACCTGTAATCCCAACTACTCCAGAGGTTGAGGCAGGAGAATCACTTGAATCCGAGAGGCAGAGGTTGCAGTGAGCCGAGATCATGCCACTGCACTCCAGCCTGGGTGAGAGAGCAAGACTCCATCTCAAAAAACAAAACAAATAAAGGAGCTCAAAGGAAAGGCTGAGACAGACCAGCATGAACTCTTGAAGACACCAGTCTAATCAGGGTCTTTCCAGCCTCTCAGTGGCTCTGTGCAGTCCTCCCAGCAAGCTCCTAGCCAGCACGGATGGCCCTGCAGGACTGGTCCATGCTGACCCTCTCTTCTCCCACCCTGACTTCGCACAAATGACTGGGAATTCTCCAAACTCATCCTCTACTTGCTGGCCTCCCTGTGTCTGCCCAGCCTGTTTCCTGGGTGCAGAATACCAAGCCTCCACCCATCATTTACTACCTGGCCATATCTACTGCTAGAGCCAAACGCTTCTAGGGGTGTGTGGATGGCCAGGTGCCCTACTATTATTCTCATAGTTCCCACCAAGATGGAAGAGAGTCATAGAGGCAAGATTATGGTTACCAACAGAGTGCCATGAGAAAACCACCTCTCCCCTAAAGAACTTCCGTGAAGTGTCCATCTCGCAGGCTGAGGACTAATGGGTTCATTCCCCTCCACCATCTTCCCAGTGTGGAGGAGACAGTGTAATGCCCAGAGAGGGCAGGAACTTGCCTGAAGTCACACAGCCTCTCAGGGGCACAACCAGGGCCTCATGGCCCTCTGCCTGCCAGACGAAAGCACACGCGTCCTTGGGTAGTTTAGAAGTGCTTTCCAAACCTTCCCAGGCTTCTGAGCGGTTCGAGGTCTGGCTCAGCCCAGTCATGTGACTGGAATCCCGGAGGAATGCTAGCTGCCTCTGAGTCCTGGTCTGAGCTGAGTTTGGCAGGTTCTCAATATATTCATGAGACTTAGGATTGATTATTCAGACACACCGCCTGAACAGGCACCGCCACCAGCCTGAGCAGGAGATGCAGCCAGAGGGCACGCCCCAGCACCAAGCCCTTCGAGTTCCCTCCGTCCACACAGGGCCTTCCCAGCGTCACAGACTCTCACAGCCAGGACAGCCCTTAAAGACCTATCAGCACAGCCAGGTGCAGTGGCTCAGGCCTGGAATCCCAGCACTGTGGGATGCTGAGGTGGGCGGATCATTTGAGGTCAGCAGTTCGAGACCAGCCTGACCAACATGATGAAACCCCCGTCTCTACTAAAAATACAAAAATTAGGCCAGGCGTGGTGGCTCACGCTTGTAATCCCAGCTTAAGTGGCCAGGCTGGTGGATCACTTGAGATCACGAGTTTGAGATCATCCTGACCAACACAGTGAAACCCCATCTCTACTAAAAATACAAAAATTAGCTGGGCATGGTAGCAGGCATCTGTAATCCCAGCTACTGAGGAGGCTGAGGCAGGAGAATTGCTTGAACCTGGGAGGCGGAGGTTGCAGTGAGCCAAGATCATACCACTGCACTCCAGGCTGGGTGGAAGAGCTAGGCTCTGTCTCAAAACAAAACAAAACAAAAATTAGCCAGGTGTGGTGGCGCACACCTGTAATCCCAGCTACTCCAGAGGCTGAGGCAGGAGAATTGCTTGAACCTGGGAAGTAGAGGTTGAACCCAGGAGGCAGAGGTTGCAGTGAGCCATGATCATGCCACTGCACTCCAACCTGGGTGACAGAGCTACACTCTGTCTCAAAACAAAAATTAGCCAGATGTGGTGGTATGTGCCTGTAATCCCAGCTACTTGAGAGGTTGTGGCAGGAGAATTGTTTGAACCTGGGAGGCGGAGGTTGCAGTGAGCCAAGATCACACCACTGCACTCCAGCCCAGGTGACAGAGCAAGACTCCATCTCAGAAAAAAAAAAAAAGATCTGTAAGTTCTACACTGATCCCCTGCACATTGGCCCTGGCAAGCAGCTGACCAACCTCCACTTACACGCCCCCTGGGGCAGGAAGCTCACTACTCCCCTCCCCACACAGCCCCTTCCATCTGGGCCACTTGCGTTATGAGTGTTGGAAGTTCTCCCTCTGGCTGAACTGGAATCCTGTGTCCTGTGGCTTCCTGCCCCTGCTCACCTTCACCCGGGACTTATTCTCACCACAGGGGAGATACTAACAGCTGAGGTCTGTGCAGCACTCTCACACCAGGGCCTTCTGTCCGCTCAGGGGTAGGCTGAATGAATACCCCCGCAAGATGTCTACGTCCTAATCTCTGCAACCTGTGAATGCTACCTACCATATATGAAAAAACACACTTTGTAAGCCGGGTGCGGTGGCGCACACCTGTAATCCCAGCACTTTGGGAGACCGAGGCAGGTGGATACTTGAGGTCAGGAGTTTGAGACCAGCCTGGCCAACATGGTGAAACCCGGTCTCTACTAAAAATACAAAAAAAATTAGCTGGGTGTGGTGGTGGGTGCCTGTAATCCCAGCTACTCAGGAGGCTGAGACAGGAGAATCACTTGAACCCGGGAGGTAGGGACTGCAGTCAGCCAAGATTATGTCATTGCACTCCAGCCTAGGCAACAAGATTGAAACTCTGTCTCAAAAAAATAAAAGCCAGGCATGGTGGCGTGCCCCTGTGGTCCCAGCTACTTGGGAGGCTGAGGTGGGAGGACTGCTTGAACCTGGGAGGTTGAGACTGCAGTTTGTACCACTGCATTCCAGCCTAGTGACAGAATGAGACCTTGACTCAAGAAAGAAAGAAAGAAGGAAAGAAAGGGAGGAAGGGGAGGAGGGGAGGAAAAGAGAAAGAGAGAAGGAAGGAAAGGAAAGGAGAGGAGAGAAGAAAAAAAAAGAAAAGAAAAGCTGGGCACAGTGGCTCATGCCTGTAATCCCAGCACTTTGAGAGGCCAAGGCAGGCAGATCACAAGGTCAGGAGTTCAAGACCATACTGGCCAACATGGTGAAATCCCATCTCTACTAAAAATACAAAAATTAGCTGGGTGTGGTGGCTCATGCCTGTAATCCCAGCTACTCAGGAGGCTGAGGCAGGAGAATTGCTTGAACCCAGGAGATGGAGGTTGCATTGAGCCGAGATCGCGCCATTGCTCTCCAGCCTGGGCGACAGAGTGAGACTTTGTCTCAAAAAAAGAAAGAGAGAGAGGAGAAGAGAAGAGAAGAAGGTATGCTCAGCATAGGGCCTGAACCAAAGTAAAAGCTTAATAAGTAATGATGAGAAAAGGGAAGAAAGTTATGGGCAAAGGGCATGGCTGAGGCCCAGGCACAGACCAGTGAGAAGCCAAGGACGTCCTGGAAGTTACACGGAGCTCTGTCTGGGCATCAGAGAGTGAGGCAGAGGCAAGAGAGGAAGAGGAGGAGGAGGTGGGAAGGAGAAGGGGGAGGAGGGAAGGAGGAGGAGGAGGGAAGGAGGAGGAGGAGGAAGAAAGGAAGAGGAGGAGGAGAAAAGGAGGGCAGGAAGAATAGTGAAGAAGGAGGAGGGGGGAGGAGGGGGAGGAGGGAAGAAAGGAGGAGGGAAGGGGGTGGAAGGGAAGGAGGGAAGGAGGAGGATGGAAGGAGGAGGAGGAGGATGGGAGGAGAAGGGAGGAGAGGATGGGAGGAGGAGGGAGGGGAGGAGGGGAGGAGGAGGGGAGGAGGGGGAGGAGGGAAGGAGGAGGGGAGGAGGGGGAGAAAGAGGAAGGAAAGAGGAGGGGGAGGAGGAAGGAAGGAGGAGGAGGAGAGGCAGTCAGCAGAGGAAGAGTGTCGCCAAAGCCCTGGGGAGGATGGGGCTCCAGAGAAGAGGACAGCATCCCCAGGACCCACCAGGACAGGGTCAGAAAGGAGGAGGAGGCCACGGGGAAGCTGAGGAGCAGCCCTGGAGGCAGGGAGGAGGCCGGGGTTGAGGGTCAGGTGCCTGCTATTCAGGAAGGATGTTCTTGACTCAGCATCAAGCCGTCACTGGAGCTCTTGGAGCCCAGGGTCAAAGGTGGCAGGGACAGAAGTGGAGCCAGCAGGGTGGTGGAGACAGCCAGGCAGGAAGCAGGAGAGGCTGTGCCCCGAGGGCAGAGTGCCTGCGCCCCCCTCCCAGCAGCCTTCCCAACACATGAAATCCCCAAACCAGAGAGGCAATGAGGCCTCCAGGCCCCCATTTGCCATGTGTAGAATGGGATGCCCTCATGGAAGACACTGCAGGCCCCCCACAGGATGGTTGCTAAGGCTCCTGTCATCCCACAGGCCCCGAAGGAGCCTCACCCCCATCTCCCACAGGCACCTCCCGGAGCCTACAGCAGCCCCAAGTGTGGAGAGATGGGGAGTTCAGCCCAGAGAAGACAAGGGGGCTGGCAGTGGCCAGTGGAGCAGCAGAGGCTCGGCCAGAGCCAGAGCCAGAGCCAGAGCCAGAGCTCCTACTGTCTCCACACAGCGCCACGTGCTCCCCCTCCAGAAACTGAATGTTGGAGCTCAGAACCTCAGAACTTCCTCAGCAAGAGCCCCCACCCTGAGCTAGGCCATGGGCCCCCGACACCCTCACCTGTCAGGGTTGCTGCATGGTTCCTGCAAGCAGGGAAGCTGCAGCCCGTGGACCACATGCACCTCGAGCAGAAATTTGGGGACCCAGAAGCCCAGGGCTCCAGCCACAAAGGCCATGGCAGTCACACCGAGGGTCAACCACACAAAACTCCAGCTGTAAGACAGACAAGGTACCTCGGCTGACATCGGGCGGGGCTGGGGCTGAAGGAACCTGTCCACCCTCCCCATTCCTGGGCTCCAGAAACTTTCCATCTTGTGTCTCGTTAACCTTCAAGGTTCCAAAGGCAGCATTTGCTACCTGCTCTTTACAGGCAGGCAAACTGAAGCACCAAAGAAGACACTCAGGTTTCCCCAAGCTCCAGCCTCCAGATCCTTCCTGGCAGCTCCCTGAGCTCCAGCCTCCCCGATGTTTCTGAGGCCCCCACCTGCACACCCTGGCTCGTGCATGCCGCCTCCTCCCTCCCTCCTCTCTGCAGGGCCCACTCTCCCCATGCTTAGGGGTCGCCATCCAGCATCACATTCTATAGGAAGCTGTCTCTGCCTGCCCCATCTTCCCCTGAATCCTCCCAGCCAGTGACATGGCTCAGTAACAGAATCAGGTCCTGTCCCTGGCCTGCACTGCAGTGAATCTGAGGCCTGGGACCCGCAGGGGACTCCTGCCTGCCTCCCCAGCGTGGCTGGCACGTGGCGAGGATGACGCATGCCACAAGGCTGGGAGAGGTGAGTGATGAACTCCCAGCATCCTCCCCACAACCCGGAGAAGCAGGCAAGGCTGGAGAATTCCTTCTTGAATAAACGGACAGTGAGGCTCTGAGTGCCAGGGCCACTTATGGGCAGGTCAGCGGCAGTAGCAAGGCTGGGTCTCACTCCAGCTCCCTCCCTCCCTGTCCATATATCTGTTACATGACAAGGTGACAAAAGCCAAGCTCTAAGGGAGGGAGGGCCACTTCCATTGGTAAGTGGGATCTCAGAGGAAGAGGAGAGCTGTGAATACTGGGGCAACCAGGGAGGGCTCCCCAGAGGTGGAGAGAGGGGTTCAATGAGGCTGGGGCAGACAAAGGGGTTTTTCCGTGGCTGGCAGGGGGTAGCAGGGACACTCACTTTCTCCCCAGGTATCTGACATCCTCGAACCAGCTCCTCCTGGAGCCTCCTGCAGCCCCCTCCCCCTGCATCTCCGCAGCTCCCCGGGGTGGGTCTGGAACCAACAGCATGAGCAGGATCAAGGCCACAGCCTCCAAGCAGGGCATGATCTGGGGACAAGAGAGCCCAGAAAGCTGAGGACCACATATTCTCACAGTCCAGGAGACCCCGGGGGCAGCTGGCCACAGTACCAGCTAGCATCTGACCTCTGGGAGTAGTGGGGGTAATGTGATTCCTGGGTACTGCTATCAACAGAGCAGGCTGTACCCCTGTTTCTCAGCCCGCTCCGCTGGAGCCTTTCTGGGGAGTGGAGTCTCTTCGGGGCTTGATGTAACTCCCGTCTTTCCAGTATTGACACCACTCTTTTGGGACCAGTGGACCTGAGATGGTTGAGAACAGGGACCCTCGATACACTGGCCCGGTCCCTGGAGGTCTCGCTGCCCCTAGAGCTGACCTTTCCCTGGGCCAGCCCTCCATCTGCCACACCAGTCTTGATATCCCCTCCTAGGGGCCCCTCAGCTCAAACCCCAAGGATGGGGATCTTATTGCCCGCCTTGAGTGGCCTTCAAACGGCTAAGACCATGAGATGGTACATTCGAGCCAGGTCAGACCTGCCTCCTTGAAGCCCACCCCACCCCCAAGGTTCTGGCTCTGGCTTCAGTGCTTTACACACCAGCTCCCGGGCACTCCCAGCTCAGTGCCTTTGCTACTGAGCACGTTCCTCTGCAGAATGGTCGTCTCCTGCCCACATTGGAGTCACGACGGCTGCAGCCCCAGCAGGGCCTGCATAGCATCTCCCCAGCATCCTGCCCCACTGCCCAGCAAGCCTCGTTGCCAGCCCTCAAGGGCCTCCTCTGTGCCCTGACCCTGCAGCCCGGAAATTCCTTCTCTGTCTCACTGACCCCCAAGATGCCTCCGGTAGCATTTACTATCCCCACTCCGCCCCCAGGCAAACTGAGGCTGTGAAGAAGGCGGCTCACTTGAGGTCACACATCGAGTACACAAAGCAGCCAGCTTTGGAACCCAGGGCCAGGACCTCCACAATGCATGCTCCCTATGAGGCTCCAAATGTCCAAATCTGCTGATGCCGTCCACCGCCCCCCACTGTGGCGCCGGGTGCTTCGCCAAGTGGCAAAGGTCACCCAAGGCTGGGAAGTCCCTGCCGGTCCAGAGGGAAAGCAAAGGGAAGACAAGGAAGCTGGACTCACTCGGAGGGCCCAGCGCCAGCTCCCGGTCAGCGCCGTCACGGCCGACGCTAGCATGTAGCCCAGGCCACTGCAACAGAGGGGCAAGGGGAATGGGCTGTGGGGGGGTGCAGGAGGCAGACCCCATGGCCAGCCTGACCAGGGTGCCCCCCCGCCCCAGGGAGTTGGCCCTCTGCAGGCCCAGAGCTGTTTCACTGAGGAGAGCAAGTCACGTAAGGCCCAGATGTCCACTGCCCTTGATCAAGCCACCAGCGGCCTCTGGCTCCAGGCCCACCCCAAGCGCCACTCTTCCACTTATGGGAACACCCTCCACCCTCCTGCCCAAGGCTGGGCCCTACTTGAGTCAGGTGAGTTCAAGAAAGCGGGGTCAGAGGCCAGAGTCCTGACTGCAAACCCCACCCTGGCAGAGCCTGCTGTGGGTGCAGGGCCTGGTCCTAGCACACTTCCTCCCCTCTCCTCCCTGGCCGGGCCCTCCCTGCGCAGGCCATGCTCCTGAGTGTACAGATCTGTAGGTGCATCCCCATCCCCTCTACTCCTCCCCCGCCCATCAGCTGGTGCCCCATTCACAGATGAGGAAACTGAGGCTCGGAGAGGTAAACTCATGCAGTGAGGAAGGGGTAGTATTAGAACTCCAATCCCAGCTCCTCTGGTCTGACTTCTCCTACCCACCCCAGCCCCTGTTCTGACTCCTTTGTGCCTCAGTTTACCACCTGGGGAAGTGGACCTATGGGTGATACCAACCTTCCCACGGGGATGAAGATGTAGAAGACAGCCAGCATGTGGGTTCGCTGGTCCCTCACAAAGAGGTCGCCCAGGACGGTGGGTGCGATGGTGGCGTAGCCGCCAGAGCCAATGCCCATGGTGCCCCGGGACAGGAATAAGAGCCAAGAATACTGGGTGAGTGAGCACAAGACCACAGTGAGTTCCAGAAACCACCCATAGGGCCATGGGCCCGAGGGTTTGGAGGAGGGGCCAAGGGGACCCATGACACAGGACCCCAGAGGAGGGAAAGGGGATCGGGGCTATAGACACCTCACTACCTTCCCCGCTCCAGGTTCCCAAAATCACATGTGTGTCCCCTGCAGCCACCGCCTGCCCTCCTGCTCAGGGGAGCCCTTCTCCTGGGTCCTGCCATGGCTAACCAGGCCAGTTCCCCAAGACAGCAACTGTTACCCCCAGCAGAGTTGGGCAGAAATGAACCTGGTGTGGCAGTGAGAGGTAGGAGAGAGGAGGCCTCCTGTTAAGAAAGTCCACCAGCTTGGCTGGGTGAGGTGGTTCACGCAAGTAATACCAGCACTTCGGGAGGCTGACACGAGTGGATCACCTGAGGTTAGGAGTTCGAGACCACCCTGGCCCACATGGTAAAACCCTGTCTCTACAAATATACAGAAATTCGCTGGGCTTGATGGCAGGTGCCTGGTATCCCAGGTACTTGGGAGGCTGAGGCAGGAGAATCACTTGAACCCAGGAGGCAGAGGTTGCAGTGAGCCCAGACCACGCCATTGCATTCCAGCCTGGGCAACAGAGCGAAACTCTGTCTCAAAAACAAAAAGAAAAAAGAAAGAAAGTCTACTGGCTCTGACCTGTGCAGGCTCAGCTGGAGGCTGTGCCCTCACCTCCTCTCCTAGCCCTCAGTGCGACCCCCACTCACCTTGGTAAAGGTGAGCCGGGAATGGAGCAGAATTGTCCACACCCAGCTCTGACGGGACTGGGCCAGGGAGGAAGCAGGTGGGGAAGGGGCTTCAGGGGCCTGGGCAGGGGCCTGGATACCTACCTGGCGTGGGATGAAGGAGCCAGCCAGGCCAGCTCCTGACCACAACAAGATCACAAAGCCCATGGTGGCCTTGCGACTATGTCGGTCACCCAGGTAGCCAAACACGGGTGCAGACAGCAGCAGGCAGCCGATGAAGACTGGAGGAGACACAGAGGGGCAGCCTGGATCCCCCACAACTGTGGTGGGGCAGGCCACCCAGCAGGCCCGGGAAAGGAGCCTGATTCAGATGCCACAAGCTGGCATCTTGGCAGTTGGCCCAGGGCATGAGGAAGAAAAGACAAGGTGAATCTCACAGTGCTCTGCCAACACGAAACCACAGCCCAGAGTGTTGGGGCCTGGACCCGGCATTGGCTCTGAGTGTCACCCCAACACTGGAGAAGTCTATCCCCTCCAGGCTGGTAAAGGTGAGATGGGAGTGAACATGGAGCATCAGGCATGGAGCAGATGACAGTCTCCCAACTCTACAAAGACACATGACCCCTGTGAGCCTGGATATGGAACTGGTCTGATTTTTCATTCATACACCTGCTGGGGCAACAGGGAGCAGGGGAAGAGGGAAGTCTGTCTGGGCCTGCTCTGAGCAGCGGACGAGGATGGTTTTGAATGAGCACACTGCACCGGGAGCGGTGGCTCATGCCTGTAATCCCAGCAATTTGGGAGGCCAAGGCAGGCAGATTGCCTGAGCTCAGGAGTTCAAGACCAGCTTGGGCAACATGGTGAAACCCTGTCTCTACTAAAAAACATCAAAAAATTAGTCAGGTGTGATGGTGGGTGCCTGTAACCCCAGCTACTCCGGAGACTGAGGAATGAGAATCACTTGAACCTGGGAGGCAGTGGTTGCAGTGAGCCAACCTTGCACCACTGCACTCCAGCCTGGGTGATAGAGCAAGACTCCAGCTCAAAAAAAGAAATTAAAAAAAAGAACAAGCACATTGACTGTGAACTAGTGACTAGTTCAGGAAGCCAGGAAAGAGTTGGTTTTCCTACTAGGTAAAATGTTCCCTGGACACAGCTGTATTCATACCTTCTTCTTTTTTTTTTTTTGAGACAGAGTCTTACTCTGTCACCCAGGCTGGAGGGCAGTGGCTCGATCTCGGCTCACTGCAGCATTTGTCTCCCGGCCTCAAGCCATCCTCCCACCTCAGCCTCCAGAATAATTGAGACTGCAGGCGTGTACCACCACACCTCACTAATTTTTGTAGTTTTTGTAGAGACAGGGTTTTGCCATCTTGCCCAGGCTGGTCTTGAACTCCTGGGCTCCAGGGATCCACCCTCGGGCTCCCAAAGTGCTGGGATTACAGGCGTGAGCCACCACTCCCAGCCCTCTCTCCATTTTTCCACTGGGCCGTTGTTCGTGAATATGTTTTGTAAATAAGTTCCCATCGTTTTTTATATTTGTTTTAAGAATTAAAAACGTAACTTCTGGGACTAAGTTGGCTGGGTTTGCATCCTGGCTCACCACTCTGGCTATGTGACCCAGAGCAAATTCCTTAACTCTTCATGCTCCCTTTCATCAACAGCACTATTTTCTTGTTGCATTCCTGAGAGGATGAAGTAAAATAAAGCACATAAAAGCTATCTGCATAGCTTCATGTAAATGTCCAATAAATGTTACCTATTATTATTACTAATTGCATAATTTCAATCACCATCATACAAAAGTGTTTAGCTTTGATGTGGTCAAATTTATTAACCTTCCAGAGGGGCAAGGGTTGTTTCATTTCTTGTTTATGCACATCTTCTTTACCCAAAATTTATAAAAAATATTTCCCAGCTGAGTATGGTGGCTCATGCCTGTAATTCCAGCACTTTGGGAGGCTGAGGTGGGCAGATCACCTGAGGTCAGGAATTCAAGACCAGCCGGGCTAACATGGTGAAACCTCGTCTCTACTAAAAATACAGAAATTAGCTGGGCATGGTGGTGTGTGCCTGTAATCCCAGCTACCAGGGAGGCTGAGACAGGTGAATCACTTGAACCTGGGAGGCAGAGGTTGCAGTGAGCCAAGATTATGTCACTGCAATCCAGGCTGTGTGACAGAGCAAGACTCTGTCTCAAAAAACAAATGAACAAACAGCAAAAGAAAAGAAAATATATATATATTTCCCCATATTTCTCATCTCCAGGGATCACTTGCGGGCTTAAGTCCCTGAACCTGCAGACGTACTGTGAACCTGCAGGTGCCCCTCCCCAGGGGAACACAGACACTCTTCATTCCCAGCATCTCCAAATTCAAATTATTTCTGTGACATAGCAGGTGAAATGAATCCTCCCGGAGTTAAAAGACAGGCTCGGGAGGCACACCTCCTGGATTCAAAATGTAAAATGGGCATAAGAGTAAAACCTGCCTCGTGGGGTTGTCGTGAATGTTAAACAAGCTGATATTTAAAGCACTTAGAATACAGCCTAGCACGGGGTAAGGGCCAAGTCAGTGTCAGTTTTAAATATTGTTAATGAATTAACTAACTCCAGCAGCCTCCCTATCCCATGGGTGGGTGGAGGGAACCTGACCACTGCATCTTCTCACCTTCCACCGCTTTCTCTTTTTGTTTTTTTGAGACAGTCTCGCTCTGTGGCCCAGTCTGGAGTGCAGTGGCATGATCTCGGCTCACTGCAACCTCTGCCTTCTGGGTTCAAGTGATCCTCCCACCTCAGTCTCCTGAGTAGCTGGGACTACAGGGACCCACCACCACGCCCAGCTAATTTGTGTATTTTTTGTAGAGTTGGGGTTTCACCATGTTGGCCAGGCTGGTCTCAAACTCCCAACCTCAGGTGATCTGCCCACCTCAGCCCCCCAAAATGCTGGGATCACAGGCATGAGCCACGGTGCCCAGCCTAATCCCTCTATCTCTTCACCAACCTCTCTCAGTCACCAGATTCCTCCTCTCAGCAGCCCTGTGGACAGACAACAGGCTGGGGCTAAGGGCCATTGCATGGCAACCCGAAAAGGTGAAGAGACTCACCTGAGCGCCCAGAGACCATCAGCCTCCAAGCCTACTGTCCTTTCCATGACATTTTTGGGTTGTTTTTGCAAAGATGACCCTTCTCTTCACCTACTCCCAAACACACACTCACACATACACACACACACACACACACCCCTCCCTCTGTAGCCCAAGCCTTGTAGTAATAATCCTGACCACCCTGGTAAGAACCAGGTAAGGGCAGGGCGCGGTGGCTCATGCCTGTGATCTCAACACTTCGGGAGGCCGAGGCTGGTAGACGACCTGAGGTCTGGAGATCAAGACCACCCTGGCCACACGGTGAAACCCCGTCTCTACTAAAAGTACAAAAATTAGTGGGCATGGTGGCGGACACCTGTAATCCCAGCTACTTGGGAGGCTGAGGCAGGAGAACCAGTTGAACCCAGAAGGTGGAGGTTGCAGGGAGCCAAGATTGTGCCATTGCACTCTAGCATGTTCAATAAGAGTGAAATTCCATCTCAAGAAAGAAAAAAAAAGAACCAGTGAAGGGAAATGTTGACCAAACCACCATTATCTATTTAATTGAGAAGGCTGTGGGTGTTGAACCAAGATGGTCTCACTTCAGCTACAGATGTGGCTGGAAGATCAGCTGCCGGCCTCTTGGCCTCAAGACTGAGGGGCAATTGGAAATGATGCGTGTTCTAAAGCTGTGATCTTCTAACTCTTGCTCACGTCACTTTCAAAGAAGTTTCTAGAACTACATACTCTGCCACACATTTTCAGCTAACACTAAAATGTTCTTATCATAACTTTGAATCTTTGCCAAAGATGGGATTTCCCACATTGTTGTGTATTTTTTTAACTATATTTTCATCCAAACTCTTGGAGCTACAGGGCCGAGTTTATTCCGTTTCTGGGAAATCTCTGCAGTAGAATTTAAGCAAGGACACCCACCCATCCTTTCTTGCCAAACCAATTACACAATCAAACTGATTATAAGAAAAACGTTGGTTTTGTGTTTTTCACTGAAAGAAATGTGTGGACATGCATCCCTGAGACCATGATCTCACTCTGAATTCTAATTCGTAGATAGATGGTAGACATGGCACACAGGGATGCTTAGATAAGGCCTGGCTCCTTGCCTGGGCCTGTGTCCTGGAGCAAACCTCCCTAGCACGTGTCTCCTGATGCTCTCTGCTTCTCTCCCAAGGCCCCCCCAACAGAAACCAAGCATCCATGCAGGAGGGAGCCTGGGAGGTTTTACACCCAGGACAGGGAGAGGAGTCCCTTTCTGCTTCCCTCAGTAGACAGGGAATTGTGACGGGGAAGAAGAGGAAGGGGAAGCACAGGCTGACCACGGGCTTCTCCTCAGGCACATCATTTTAGGAAAAAACATACAGACTTGAGGATCTAGAAATGAGTCAATCTCTCAAAACTCTCTGTGTTCGTGCAGACCCTGGAAAGTTACTGTATATCCCCAGGGATACCTGTACCCAGTTTGAAAGCCATGTTCCTTTTCTTTCTTTCTTTTTTTCTTTTTTCTGAGATGGAGTCTCACTCTGTCACCTAGGCTGGAACGCAGTGGTGCCATCTCATCTCACTGCAGCCGCCACCTCCTGGGTTCAAGCAATTCTCTTGCCTCAGCCTCCTGAGAAGCTAGGATTACAAGCGTATGCCACCACAGCCGGCTAATTTTTTTGTAATTTTAGTAGAGACGGGGTTTCGCCATGTTGGCCAGGCTGGTCTCGAACTCCTGACCTCATGATCCAGCCGCCTCAGTTTTCCAAAGGGCTAGGATTACAGGTGTGAGCCACCGCGCCCAGCTGAGAGTCATGTTCCAAAGCCCTGAGAGACGGGCTGTTAGGAGGCCCCTCAGCACATGCTAGTTACAGGCTGGGTGTGTGTGCACGTGTGTATCACGTGTTGTGACCATGTGTGTTGTGTGTGTGCACATGTGGGTGTGTAACGCCATGCAGGCACCCACAGGGGAAAAGCTCATGCCTCATGGCCCCAACCACTCTGATGCTGAGATGGGACATGTGGCTGCCCTCGCTGCCGGGTGTTAGGCTCTCTGTGGGCCACATCCCTCTGAGCCCATACAGGAGGATGTGTCTGTTTGTGTCTGTGTCTGTCTGTCCTCATGTGTCCCAGTAGTCAGATTTTTCAGGTCTGTGAGGCAAAGGCACACATCAGGATTTCTCAAACACAAGCAAGCCTCAGGTGCATAGCTGAGCTTCACCAGTGCCAAGGGAAGCAGTAATCAGCTCCGCAGCCAGGAGCTGAAGCGCGGGGCCTGTCCCAGCCCCACCTCCCTCTGCTCTCCTGTGGTACCCTCCACTCGAACTAGTGCAGCTGTTCCAGCCTAGGCTCCCTCCTCCTCCTGCCCAGATTGCCCCTCAAGCCACACTCCACCCACCCCCTGTGCCAGCAGACCCACTGGGGCTGAAGCTGGGCACAGAACATGAGCCACTGAAAGAGCTCACCCCAGCATGAGCCCAGGGCCCCAGCTCCAGAGCGGGGACTCCTCCTTACCAGTCTGAAGCAAACCAGCATTGCTGTCACTGATGTGGAAAAACATCTGTACATCTGTCAGCACTCCTGTGGACAGAGGGACAGCGCTCACGAAATGGGAAGTTGCCCTCCTGGCATTGAAAGGGGCACTGGACTGCAGCTGACCAGCACAGCACAGGGTGTGGCACCCAGCCCAGTGTTCTGTCCCCGTCTCCCACACATGTACAACCACATGCACATAAGAGCAGGCACACAGAGAAATGTGTGCATATCACTCAAAGCAACAAGCATCCCTAAGGAACAGATGTTCACACACACACATTTACACACACGCCTGAAGCCACGTGGCTCCTTCCCTGCTTCATATGCGAACACAGACACAAGTCGTGGCTCACACCTGCAATCCCAGCACTTCGGGAGGCTGAGGCAGGTGGACCACAAAGTCAGGAGATCGAGACCAGACTGGCTAACATGGAGAAACCTCGTCTCTACAAAAAAATACAGAAATTAGTTGGGCGTGGTGGATTGCACCTGTAGTCCTAGCTACTCAGGAGGCTGAGGCAGGAGAATCACTTGAACCTGAGAGACAGAGGTTGCAGTGAGCCAAGATTGCACCACTGCACTCCAGCCTGGGCCACAGAGCGAGACTCTGTCTCAAAAAAGAAAAAAAAATTAGCTGGGCATGGTGGCGGGTGCCTGTAATTCCAGCTACTCGGGAAGCTGAGGCAGAAGAATCATTGAACCCGGGAGGCGGAGGTGGCGGTGAGCTGAGATCACGCCCATTGCACTCCAGCCTGGGCAATAAGAGCAAAACTCGGTCTCAAAAACAAAGCAAAACAAAACAAAAAACCAAGGCATTGCCAGAGGAACACACCTGCAGAGGCACAAATATACACACACACAGGAACTCACACTCACAGACATGTACACCCAGCCTCATACACCCAGACATACATATACATGTGCAGTGAGATGAACCCATAAGGACACGCCCAGAGTTCTGCCAGCCTGTGCACAGGCTCAGGACTGCCACCCACAGTGCAGTCAGAGGGGCCGGCAGCTCTCTTTCTTCGAGGTGCACAGCCCTTAACTTAGGCCACTGTGTAAACAGAAGTCCCTGGAGGTGTGCGACACAGCGGCCTTGCCCATGCACAATCACCAGGCATGCACAGATGAACAGGTACGTACAAAGACACAAGATGTCCCGGCTTGCATGCACGCATGCACAAGCATGTTCTTCCCTAGGCGCAGCAGCGGGCACCCAGCTAATGCACAGAGACAGAGTGGGTCTCCCAGACACCAGGGTCTGTTTCCTGGTAGCCTCTAGGTGGTATCTCAGAAGGCTCCGGGTCTGCAGCACCTGCTCACATGAGCCAGGCAGCTCTGGCCCTTCATTATCATGAAGAAGAATGATCATCACATTCATGCTCAGATGACCGAGACCCAGGCCCTGAACTGTACACGTGCCATTGTCATCCTAAAAGGTGGGGACTCTCATCGCCCCCATTCTATAGACAAAGAAACAGAGGCTCTAGGTGCCCAAGTTCACCCATCTGAAGCTGGAGGAGCTGAGACTCAAATCTCAGCCACAGGCAGCCTGTCCGCACACCCAGAAACACAGAAGGGGAACAGAAGCCCCCACATGGGTCCCCACAGAAACACCCACCCCAAGAAAGCCCTGCATGCACACCTCCAAGACCTGCCCCATGCACATAAAGGTCAAGGAATCAGGCCAGGTGTGATGGCTCACACCTGTAATCCCAGCACTTTGGGAGGCTGAAGCAGGCTGTTCACAAGGTCAGGAGATCCAGAACAGCCTGGCTAAACCTCGTCTCTACTAAAAATGCAAAAAATTAGGCAGGAGTGGTGGCACCTTCCTGTAATCCCAGCTACTCAGGAGGCTGAGGCAGGAGAATCACTTGAACCTGGGAGGTGGAGGTGGCAGTGAGCCGAGATTACGCCACTGCACTCCAGCCTGGGTGACAGAGTGAGACTCCATCTCAAAAAAAAAAAAAAAAAAATCAAAGAAACAGAAGCAACGTAAGAAATCTTTGTTTAGACATTTAATTTGTCCCTAATTGCCACCACAACCTGGCATACAAACCAGTATGTCTTTTTCCCCCTTTTAATATTTTCTCTATTTCTTTTTTTTTTTTTTTTGAGGAAGGGAGGGATGAAGGAAGGGAGGAAGTGGGGAGGGAGGGAGGAAGGGAAGGAAGGAAGGGAAGGAAGGAATTCAAGCAATGAGAGAGACATTGCCGATCTGGATCTAGAGGTTTACAAGTTGATTTCTTTTTTTTTTTTTTTTTTTTGAGTGAAGGAAAGAAGAAAAAAATGAGTAAAGGAAAGGAAGAAAGAGGAAGAGAAAGAGGGAGGGTGAATGGAAATATTGCTTTATTCTGAAAAAAAAAAATGGGTATTAATAATGACCAATCAGAGGAGATCGATCCAAGATGGCCAACCACTAACAGCTCAGGATTGTAGCTCCCAGTGAAACCTCAGAGAATGAGACGACGCCACATCTTTAGACGAATTTTTGTCACTCACCGATTAGCCAATTCCCAGTGGAGGAGCCCCATGGGTCGCCAGCACGACTCTTGTGGCCGCCGCAGCGGTTTTGCCGGCGTCTCGGCGCAGCAGCTCTTCATGCAGAGCCAACGGGACTGCTTCCCCTACTGACCGGAGTTTGGAGCTCCGGGAAGTCAGAGCCACTTGTTGCGGACTCAAGAGGGAAGCCAGACCAGAGATTCCCGGGCAGAAGAGCACCATCAGTCTCACCGCTGCTATTTAGGCTGCCACAGTGGGTTGCTCGGATCCCAGCACTGGGAATCAATAAGTCGGACGTCGACTCAGAAAACTAATTAGAAAGGCGGTTCATCTACAATGAAGGGAAAAAAACAGCCTAAGAAGGCCGAGTATACTCAAAATCAGAACCCATCAGCAACGGAACAAGCCCTGATGGAAAAGGACTCATCAGCAACCGAACAAGCTCTGATGGAAAAGGACTCATCAGTAACAGAACAAGCCCTGATGGAAAAGGACTGTGTTCCATTATCTGAAGTAGGCTTTAAAAGGTGGATGATAAGAAACTTCTGGGAGTTAAAGGAACTTGTTCTAACCCAATGTAAAGAAACTAAGAACTTGGAAAAAAGGTTCAATGAAATGTTGAAAAGAATAGACAATATAGAGAGGAATACAAATGAACTTATGGAGTTGAAAAATACAACACGAGAACTTAGTGAAATATGTACAAGCTTAAACGGCCGAATGGATCAAGCAGAAGAAAGGGTATCAGAGGTCGAAGACCAACTTAATGAAACAAAACGACAAGACAAGAATAGAGAAAAAAGGATAAAAAGGAATGAGCAAAGTCTCCAAGCAATATGGGACTATGTGAAAAGATCGGTGTACCTGAATGTGACAGAGAGAATGAATTCAAGCTGGAAAATACTCTCCAGGACATTATCCAGGAAAATTTTCCTAATTTAGCAAAGCAGGACACTATTCAACCCCAGGCAATACAGAGAACACCACAAAGATATTCCTCAAGAAGACCAACCCCAAGGCACATAATCGTTAGATTCACCAAGATCAAAACGAAGGAGAAAATATTAAGGGCAGCCAGAGAGAAAGATCAAGTTACCCATAAAGGTAAGCCTATTAGGCTTACAGCAGATCTCTCAACGGAAACCCTACAAGCTAGAAGAGAGTGGGGGCCAATATTCAATATACTTAATCAACAGAACTTTCAGCCTAGAATTTCATATCCTGCCAATTTAAGCTTTACATTTGAAGGAAAAATAAAATCTTTTAGGAACAAGCAAGTACTCAGAGATTTTATTATCACCAGGCCTGCTTTACAAGAACTTTTAAAAGAAGCATTATACACAGAAAGGAACAACCAGTATGACCCTTTCTAAAAATACACCAAAAAGTAAAGAGCATTAACATAAAGAAGAATTTTTATCAACGAAAGGACAAAATAGCCAGTTAATATCAAATGGCAGCAACCCTAAATTTAAATCGACCAAATCTCCCAATCAAAAGATACAGACAAAATCCAACGGTATATCCAAAGATATACATAGACTCAAAATAAAGGGTTGGAAAAAAAAAAAACGTACCAACCAAATGGAGAGCAAAAATAAATAAATAAAAAGCAGGAGTTGCAATTTTCACATTTGACAAAATAGATTTCAAAGCTACAAGGATACAAGGGTAAAAGGATTAATGTAATAATAAGAGATCTTAACACCCAGATACATAAGACCCATAATGAGATTTAGATTCAATGAGACAGAAAATTGATAACGATATCCGGGATTGGAACTAAGATCCAGAACAAATAAACTCAATAGAGCTCTCCATTTTAAACACACAAAATATACATTATCCACAAAATCTAACGATATATCTAAAGATATACAAAGACTCAAAACAAGGGGATGGAAAAAAACTCACCAACCAAATGGAGAGCAAAAATAAATAAATAAAAAGCAGGAGTTGCAATTCTCACACTTAATAAAATAGATTTCAAAGCTACAAGGATGCAAGGGTAAAAGAGATCTTAACACCCAGATACATAAGACACATAATGAGATTTAGGTTCAACGAGACAATAAATTGATAATGATATCCAGGACTTGAACTCAGAGCCAGAACAAATAAACACAATAGAGGTCTCCATTTTAAACACATAAAATATGCATTAAAAAAAAAGAAAAAAGAATGGCCAATCAATGTTTCATTTAAACCTATGAGTAGGTGTGATGTGGTATTGACTAGAATGTATATTTTGTGTATTTGAAGTGGAGAGCTCTATAAATATTTATTAAGTTTACTTGTTCCGGATCTGAGTTTGAGTCCTTGATATCCTTATTAATTTTCTGTCTCATTGTGTCTAAGTCTCTATGTATCTGGGTGTTAGGATCATTAGCTCTTGTTGTTGCATTGATCCTTTTACCACTATATCTTTGTTGCTTTAAAATCTATTTTATCCGATACGAGATTTGCAACTCCTGCTTTTTATTTATTTATTATTTATTTTTGCTCTCCATTTGGTTGGTAAATCTTTCTCCATCCCTTTGTTTTGAGTCTTTGTGTATCCTTGCATGTGAAACAGGTCTGGATGTAACATGACTTTGGGTTTTGGCTGTGTCTTTTGATTGGGGGATTTAGTCGATTTAAATTTAGGGTTACTGCCATTTGATGTTAACTGGCTGTTTTATCCATTCGTTGGTGTAAATTCTTCTTTATGTTGGTGCTCTTTACTTTTTGGTATATTTTTAGAAGGGCTGATACTGGTTGTTTCTTTCTGTGTGTAATGCTTCTTTCAGAAGCTCTTGTAAAGCAGGCCTGGTGGTAATAAAATCTCTGAGTTCTTGCTTGTTCATAAAAGATTTTATTTTTCCTTCAGTTGTGAAGCTTAGTTTGGCTGGATATGAAATTCTGGGCTGAAGGTTCTGTTCTTTGAGGATGTTGAATATTGGCCCCCACTCTCTTCTGCATTGTAGAGTTTCTGCTGAGAGATCTGCTGTAAGTCTGATTGGCTTGCCTTTGTGGGTAACCTGACCTTTCTCTCTGGCTGCCCTTAGTATTTTCTCCTTCGTTTCAGCCCTGGTGAATCTAACGATTATGTGCCTTGGGGTTGCTCTTCTTGAGAAATACCTTTGTGGTGTTCTCTGTATTACCTGGGGTTGAATATTGACCTGCTTTGCTAGTTTAGGAAAATTTTCCTGAATAATTTCCTGAAGGGTATTTTCCATCTTGGATTCATTCTCTCTGTCGCATTCAGGTACACCTATCAAACGTAGATTTGGTCTTTTCACATAGTCCCACATTTCTTGGAGACTTTGCTCATTCCTTTTTATCCTTTTTTCTCTAATCTTGTCTTCTCATTTTATTTCATTAAGTTGGACCTTGACCTCTGATATCCCTTCTTCTGCTTGAACAATTCGAGTGTTTAAACCTGTGCAAACTTCTCGGAGTTCCTGTATTGTATTCTTCAGTTCCATTATTTCACTCATACTCCTCTCTAAGTTGTCTATTCTCAATAGGATTTCATCAAACTTTTTTTCAAAGTTCCTAGTTTCTTTACATTGGGCTACAACATGTTCTTTTAACTCACTGAAGTTTGTTATTATCCATTCCCTGAAGCGATATTCTAGCATTGGGATGCGCTCGTTCTTCATCAAGCCTTGTTCCATTGTTGATGTGGAACTGTGATCATCTTTAGAGGGAGAGGCGTTCTGACTTTGAGTATTCTCAGCTTTTTTACGCTGGTTTCTTCCCGTTATTGTAAGTTTATCCTCCTGTGGTCTTTGAATTTACCAACTTTCAGATTAGGTCTCTTGAGTGGGCGTCCAGGTTGCTAGTTCCCAGGGCCAGAGCAGCGGCATTAAAACTCATGGTGCTTTTCTGCCCAGGATTCTCTTGTCTGGCTTCCTTCTTGTGTCCATAGTGGGCGACTCTGCCTTCCCAGGGCTCCAAACCTCAGTCAGAAGGGGAGCCGGTCCCGTTTACTGTGCGCCTCTGCGCTGAGTGCTGCCGCGCCGAGGTGCCATCACAGCCACTGCGCCGGGCTCTGGTGTCGTGCTGGGGGCCCTTGTGGGTCCTCCGAACCTGTTTACTCTGCTCCAAGAGCTGCCGTGAGAGGCTACTGCGGAACTGCTGCGCAGGCCACGAAAGTCGCGCTGGCGACCCGTGTGATTCCTCCACTGGGGATCTTCTGCTCCGTGAGCGACCAGAATTTGTCTGAAAGTGTGGCGTCGTCTAGTTCTCCGCGCCTTCACTGAGAGCTGCAGTCCCGAGATGTTAGCGATTGGCCATCTTGGATCAGTCTCCATTTTCTCTATTTCTTGTTGTTTGTTTTGTTTTGTTTTTGAGAGGGAGTCTCATTCTTTCATCCAGGCTGGAGTGCAGTGGTGCAATCTCAGCTCACCGCCACCCCCACCTCTTGGGTTCAGGCTATTCTCCTGCCTCAGCCTCCCAAGTAGCTGGGATTACAGGCACACGCCATCATGCTCGGCTAATTTTTGTATTTTTAGTAGAGACGGAGTTTTACCCTGTTGGCCAGGCTGGTCTTGAACTCCTGACCTCAGG